CTGCTTGGACCCTGAACACGACGCATGTGTCCGACTCACCGCCCAAAATATCCGTGCATTCATCGTAAGTGGGTGGGTGGATGAGACGTACATACCCGAGGGTTTGTATTATGACGAAGGATTTTTTTGGACGGGCGAGGAATGTACGCACGAACGTGGAAGCGCCAGCGTCGAATCCGTGAGCTTGAGGAGGGAATTAAAAAAATCTACGAAACCTACATGACTCGAGCCCGAGTCGAACGGGCGCTTCCTGTAACAAGCGTTGAGTCGGTAACCCGCGCATGAGATGCGTGCGGCCCGTCCGCCATTGAGCCGATACCATCCCTTCTCATAGTCTCTCCTAGACAGACAGTTCAACACACGCAGCTCGTACCTCGCTTGTTGAACCCTTCTCGCACCCCGCATAAATGCGCACCTCCGTTCAGACTACCCCCGTTTGAATTACTTACTTATCCAGCGCGCGGTTGGTAAACACCTCGCCCGCTTCCGCCTTCCCGGTGTGTCAGCGCGATTACGCGGGGGGTGCTGCGACGGAGACGGCTCGGATACACATACCCAATCCGAAGTCGAGGCTTTCTTCAGTGGGGGGGCAGCGTGAGGCTGCGGTTGTAGAACGCGACAAGCGCCACGGAACTAGAAGCCGACCCAAGCCCGGGGCACCGGCACTGGGTCGTCATCACAAGCGTCCCTCGCACGTGTTGATCCCACCAAAATAATCTCCGTCAAGTCCTTCACTGCCACCTCTCCTCTTCCACACCGACGACGACGCCGCCGCGATGATCTCCACCGCCCACCCACGCGCGCTTCGAGCCCCTCCCTGCTGGATACTGACCAAGGATGTATCTCCGGCGACCCCTCGCACCACCTCGCCTTCGCCCCGCCGTCGCCCACCCCGCCCGCTCTCGCTCGCCCCTGCCGCCACCACCGCCAAGGCCTTCTCCGGCACCGAAGCCGAGTCTGCGCGGACACCCAAACCGGAAGACATCGCGGCGTGGCTCCGCTGGGCCGTCTCCCCGCGCTCCGCCCTCCTACTCGTCCTCGCCCCGCCTCTCCTGTCTAGTGATACCGAGGGCCCGGCTTGACCTGAAAGCCGGGGCTTGGGTCTGACTTGGGTGGGCTCGGGCTTGACATCCTCGCCAGGAGGGCTTGGCTTGGCCTGGCCTGGGCCTAGGCCCGGGCTTTCCCGCATTTTCTTTGCTCGGCGTACTGTAACGTAGCAGAGAGGTAAATTGTAAAATTAATTAATTGTCCATATCAGCCTTGACCTCGTGTTATCATTGAGGAAACAGTCTCAGTTTGTAGAGGAAGATGGGATCGTTCTTCACCCTTAGGAATTCAACTCGGACCGAAGTGTTCATGTGACCTTTGGTTTGCTGAGAGAGGAGCTTCCTTCGTTCCTATCTAAGCCCTGAAACCAACAGATTCCAACTTTTCTTATCGTCCAACCACACAATTCTGCATCCTACCACGACAGAACTCTCGAATCATGCCGCAGCCGCCTCATATGCACACTCCGGATTCTCAAACAAAATGGGCTGGGGCGCGCGCCCAGCCCTGCTCATCGTGATATGTTTGCCTCAGTCTTTCGTAGACTTCCCTGATTGGATTTTAATTGAATTTTATTTTACTTGAGAGGTGGGAAACCGATGTCAAAAAGGCTGGGCAGTATGATTTCCATCTCTCATCTTTTGATGCTTCAGCATTCAAAGTCCGCTATCGCGATCCTGGCATCCTACACCACTACAGCCACAACACCCTTCAGCTCCACCATTTATGCCTATTTTCCAGCCGGTACTTCCCCCGCTTCCAGATTCGCTCTCGTTCACAGGGAAAACTGCCATTGTCACGGGTGCTAACAGAGGTCTGGGGCGCGCTGCCGCTCTGCATCTCGCCCAGCGAGGCATCTCCACTCTCATCCTCGCCGTACGCACTCTATACAATGGTGAGGCCACCAAAGAAGTTCTGCTCACAGATGCCGTTGTTAAAACCCGCCCTATCCAACCCACCATTCTCGTTTACGAATTGGACCTAGACCGCCCGTCTTCCGTGGTAACTTTTGCGTCCAAAATCCGTGCCGAGATCCTCACTCTCAACATTCTCCTTCTCAATGCGGGGATGGGTAGCCTGAAATGGGAGACCACGCCTGAAACGAATACCGAGCGGATGTTCCAGATCAATTTCCTCTCGAACACTCTCCTTTCCGTACGACTCCTCCCGCTACTCCGCGCCACGGCGGAGACTTCGGGCGTGCAGTCGTATCTCACAATCGTCGGCTCACGCAGTCTAATGGGACACACATTCACCAAATACCCCGTTCCTGATACCACCTCCATATTCGCCTTCCTCAACGACCGCACCCACTTCCGAATTATGCGCTACCCTGACAGCAAACTCCTTGTGTCTTTATGGGTGCATTCTCTCGCAAAGCAGACCGATCCGTCGGTCGTTATGACGAACAGCACTTGTCCGGGAATGGTCGAGGCAGACATGTCCCATCAACCATGGTGGATCAGAAATATCTTCTACACCCTCTTCTGGGTTAGAGGGAGATCACAGGAAGTAGGCGCACGGGCTCTGGTGAACGCTGTATCTGCGGGGAAGGAAACGCACGGAGAGATGCTTTGGGATTACACAGTGTGGCAGTGAGTTGGTTTTATTCAAACGGTGCATGATCGAGATGGTTGACCCCCTCTGGCGCCATAGGAACCCTTTTTTAGAGGTTGATCTGGGGAAGAAAATGGAGAAAAGACTTTGGGAAGAAACTTTGGCGGCAGCTGAGAGCATTATGCCGGGATCGGTGGAGGAGGCAAAGTTGAGGTTGGAAGTTTGAGATGCCGTTGAAAGTTCTTTCTCCACATGAATATTACTTTAGCCCTTACCGCCATCGATGGCCAACTGCAAGGGTTTTTCGAGTTTGACCCAATAAGCCGGCGGCCATCGGAAACGGAGATCAAAATCCGATGTCACGTCGTCGCGTCTCCGCACTTTTCTCCTCGCGGTCATGCATCCCGCTCTCCGACTGAATAATCTGGACCGCCTTCCGCTTCCTATAGTGAAACTCTCCCAGTTCTCTCCTCTTAATGTCAGTGCTTACACGCTCTCCTCTCCAGAAGGCCGCCCAAGATGCTTGCTCTGCGCGTCGCTCCATTGAAGATATTCGGCGCGTGAAGACATATCTCGCAACCGCAACGGATGTACAGGCGCTCCTGATGTTACAGTCGCTAACCCACTAACGAAACGGCGAAACACCAGCTTGTTTGATCACTTAAGGGCCTCCGTTGACGCTGAAATTTTAGGAGGGGGGTGTGCACTATATAAAACTTCCATCCACCGAAGGAATTGCGGAAAATGCTCGTATAGCGCTACCACGATTCATTTTTCGTTTGCGCTGTTATTTGTCGCAGTTCCCGGACGCGATCTAAATGGGGCCATGCAAACATATTAAGATAATCTCTACGCGAAGAAGAGTATATGTAAGTGGTTGTTTGAGGTCTGTGAACATGAATAATAGCATCCGGGATGTCCAAGATCCCTGGCTCGGCAGACGAAATGTGGATGTGGAGGGCATCCATGTTAATGGTTACAGCAACTCCCATCATATCACCACTCCTTATCCAGGGTGTGGCTACAGTGAATGAGGCGAATGGCACAGTTTTTTCCTCATAGTCTTCGCAACTACGAGCCCGAGGTATATCATCGCCCGCCTCCTCCTCATGGTCCTTGCCTTCACAACCTTGCGCGCCCTCCCTTCCGGCGCGTTCACAGACGTAAACTGGAGCATCTATATTCCACATCTCTAGCTCTGGACTCGCCGGCGACCCTACATGGTTATTATTTTGTCTTGGATACGGACAGTTGACTATTAGTGGACACTCTTTCGAGTTTTTTCCAGTTCTATCTTGCACCGAAGTTTTTCTCCTTCAGATCCCTTTCCAATTACTTTGTACATATAATGTAACCAGTTTCGACACACATGGAGTGGAATGAACGAGTTCGATGATAGTTGGACCTTACTAATTTAATTCAATATCCGCCGGCAACTGCCGACCTCCTACCCTCGTTCGGCTAACACGCGCTGCTCCAAGGCACAAGCACTGAGCGAATCAACGCTTGGATTCACAGCCAACCTCGATCGTTCACGCAGCGCATCCGGCTCAGGACCTCCTTTTCTCAAGCTTCTCTCGACAGGCCAATTACTCTGAGCTCAAGGTCTGCTAATAAAATCCACAAATTCAGACGCATAGGTATACGCGCGGCGGGCCAAATGGAATCTAACGAATCCAAATCTTCAGATCTCGAAATTCATGCTCGACACTTACAAGAAGCCGCCTCCACCCACATATACTGTTTATCTCATCGATCCCGCACACCCCGCGCTCCTACCTCTTGCTCTGAGCAACTTGCATTCATTCACACGCTGAACCAGGCAAGTCGGCTTGATATTGGGCTCGGCGTGCTTGTCCCGCCGTTACTCAGGTAATCGACGCGTGCGGGATTGGAAGCTGAAAAAGGGACGTAAATATAGCGAGAACGTAGAGCGCATGAGGTGCAGGCCGCTATCGAGCCCATAATCTCCGCTCCTAGCGCCTGAATAAATGTGAATCTTGATTGCGCGAGCTCGACGAAGGACCGTGAAGAAATATAATTGAACAAAAAAGCATTGTGATGCTGAAGCCATGGTATGGTTCGAACCCGAGTCGAACGGGTGTTCCCTGCATGCCATGGGATCGAACGGAATAGGATGCAGGTGCGGACCGCCCGCTATCGAGCCGTCCATACCAGTTCTCGCACCTACATTAGATGAAGACATCTCAGTCGCGTCCGCGGTAGAATCAGCATAACTCACACCGAAGGTATGCACAATCGGAACGCCCATGTGCGTGGAGGATCCTCTCCTCGTCGGCGGGGGCGGAGGGAGTGTCGTTACTGGGGTGGCAGGCAGGAGGGAGGAGAAGGGGAGGAGTAGGAGGAGATGAAAAAAAAATGTTCCACGAGATGCATGGCTCGAGCCCGAGTCGAACGGGCGTGTCCTGCATGGTTTTTCTTCACCATCCCTTATGAGCCGCAGGCGCGGACCGTCCGCCATCGAGCCGATATCAGGCTAGCTTGCGACCTGAATGAGTGAGGATTAATTTCGGCAGTCACGAGGGATGGAACAAAAGAGTTCCTAGAAAGGTAAGCATGGCTCGTGCCTGAGTCGAACGGGGTTGTCCCGCCTTATCTGGCTAGGTTGGAACCTGAATAGATGTGAGTCCTGCCTCCACAGAAGAATCGATCAAGCGCTCCTAGCACCTGAGTAAACGTGAATCTTGAGTGCGCGAGGAGGAGGGAATCTGAAGAAATGCAATTGAACCAAAAAAATTGAGCTGCTATGGTATGGCTCGAGCCCGAGTCGAACGGGCTTCTCCTGCATCACGATGGCAGACATGTATAGTGACATTTATTCCAGGCGCGGACCGTCCGCCATCGAGCCGACACCATCCCCTTGTCGTACCCCGCATAAATGCGACCTCCGTTCAGACTATCCCCACTTGAATTACTTAGTTATCCAGTGCGGTTGATAACGGCGAGAAAAACACCTCGCCCGCTTCCGCCTTCCCGGTGTGTCAGCGGGATTACGCGCGGGGGTGCTGCGGCGGAGACGGCTCGGATACACATACCCAATCCGAGTTGGAGGCTTTCTTCAGTGGGAGGGCAGCGTGAGCCTGCGGTTGTAGAACGCGACAAGCGCCACGGAACTAGAAGCCGACCTTGAGCCGACCCAAGCCCGGGACACCGGCACTCCTCATCACTCGCGTCCCTCGCACGTGCTGATCCCACCAAAATAATCTCCGTCAAGTCCTTCACTGCCACCTCTCCTCTTCCACACCGACGACGACGCCGCCGCGATGATCTCCACCGCCCGCCCCAAGCCGCTCACCCGCTTCGAGTTCGTTGCCCTCTCTTCCCGCTGGATACTGCTGACTAAGGACTTGCACGGCAGCGACCCCTCGCACCACCTCGCCTTCAGCCCGCCCTCGCCCACCCCGCCCGCCCTCTCGCTCTCCCCTGCCGCCAAGCCCACCGCCAACGCCGGCCCGAAGGCAGGGAGCGCACCGGCGCCGAACCCGGAGGACGTCGTGGCGTGGCTCCGCTGGGCCGTCTCCCCGCGCGCTGCTCTCTTACTCGTCCTCGCCCCGCCGCTCCTTGCGCTCCCGGTGTCGCTTGTTATGCCGTTCCTCCCGGAGGCGCTCAGGCCGGTTAGCAACCCCCTCCTCGCCTTCTTCCTCCTCTCCCACCCCGTGCCCCCGCCCGCGCGCGCGACCGCCGCCGCAGCGCTGTACGACTCGCCCTTCCTCGACCCCTCCACCTTCCTCTCCTCGCTCTTTTCCTCTTCCCCCTCCCCTCCCCCGATGCCATTCAGCGGCCAGCTCTACGAAAAAGGGCTAGGCGACCTCGCGCTCGTGGCGTGGAGCGTCGTCATGTGGAGCTTCCTCCGCCTCGTCCTCACGCGCTATGCGTTCCCGGCCCTCGCGCGGAGGTGGGGCATCACGAAGGAGGGCAAGATGGTCAGATTTGGGGAGCAGGGGTATGCGGTGGTGTATTGGGGCGTGTTTGGAGTTTGGGGCGTGGTGAGTGATCTTTTACAAGTGTTCGCAGGCATCCGCTTCCCCTGCGGAGCTCACGGCGAGCCCCAAGGAGGTGCCGCAGGCATACCATTCCCTTCGGGCGCCGCAGGCTTACTCTCCTGGCGAGCAGCCGTAAAGAGGCGCGTGCCGCAGGCTTACCCTTCCTCTGGCGCCGCAGGCGTTCTATGGCTGGCGCCGCAGGCATTCTATGGCGTGCGCCTCAGGCATTCTATGTCCGCGAGCTCACGGCGAGCGGGAGGGATGCCTTGCCTCCATGTCGCGCCGCAGGCTGTGCCTTTCCTCCCCCGTCCATCCTCCTCTCCTTCGCTTGATTCATACACCGTACAAATTAATTCGCTTCGCTCGTTCTAGTACACCCTCTCCACCACACGCGCCTTCTGGTTCCGGACTTCCTATTTCTGGGAGGACTACCCGCACACGCACCTGAGCGGGGCGATGAAGAGATATTATTTGAGCCAGATTGCGTATTGGCTGCAGCAGGCGTTGGTGAGTGTCTCGCTTGCTTGCTTGCTGTACTTCGAGTCTCTATTTGCGCATCGGACGCTCGACGGCGCGCATTCCGCGTCCATCGGCGATTTTCTTTACGTCGCATACCTGCGGGCTCGCTGACGCTCACACAGGTCCTCATGCTCGCGCTCGAGAAGCGCCGCTCGGACCACTGGGAGTATGTCGTGCACCATGTGATTACGGTGTGGATGGTTAGGTGCGTCCTCTTCAATTCACGTCCTCCCTCCCTCCCTCCATCGCGCGCTGCCCTCGCTGACGCTGACGCACACGCACAGCTGGTCCTACCTCATGAACGTCACCCTCCTCGGCAACGCGGTGTTCGTGAGCATGGATATTCCGGATACGTTGCTTGCGGTGCGTTTCTTTCCTCCTTCTCCTTCTCCTTCCGTTTCGCTTCGTTTCATTCTGCTCCATTTGCGATGGAGTAGGTTTCATTTCGCCAGCCTCCACCGTTTCCATGCTCCACCCCCTCATGACCTCACTTCCCTTTTTGCCTCGCGCTTCCGATCCGCGGTGCATCACTGGTGACCGCACCTTCCCTTTCTACCTCTTGCTTCAGATCCGCGCTGCCCCACTGGTGACCCCACCTTCCCTTTTGCTCTTGCTTCGGATCTGCGATCTGTCGAGGAGCGGAGCGGAGTGCATGCTATTTTTGCTATTATTCCTTCTGTTGGGCTCTTCTGCGGGTGGTGCGCTGCTGCGGTTCACATCGATGCTCTGCGTTGCGGCTCGGATTGATGCTATTTCCTCTGCTCCCTCCATTCCCTCCATTCCCTACTATCCGTTCTCCATTCCCTTCGCTTTACTCCCCCCTCTGTCCCCTTGTCCACTCTCTCTCGTGACCTCACCTTCCTCTTTGCCTTTCGCTTCGGATCCGCGATCTGCGCTGCGCTGCCGCGCGGGGTGTGCTATCTTTGTTATCGTTTATTCTTGGGCCGGGACGGATCTCTGCTGTGGCGTTGATTTGACGGTGACGTCGAAAGGGCAGATGCGCGCCCTTTCGTTCCTGAGCCGTGGTGGTGGTTCTGCTCTTGTGCTAGTTCAAGTTCGATTTCAATTTCGATTTTATTCCGTATTTCGCTTTGCGATTTTATTCCTTCACTTTCTTGCGCATTCATGGCCCGCTCGCTGACGCGCGCACCCGCAGCTCTCCAAGCTCCTCAACTACCTCCAGCTCGAGCGCGCAAAGGTCGTCTCGTTCGCGGTGTTTACGGTCGTGTGGACGTGCGTGTTTTTCTTCTTCCTAATCCCTTCTCCTCCTCTGCGTGTAATTTTAAATTGCGCGCGCGCCCGCTGAAAAACGCTGGATTGGCGCCGTTGCGTCGGCGTTATCTGCTACGCCGCCGCCGCCGCTATTGACGCCGACTGCTCCGGCGGACGCGCGTAACCTCGCTTCTCTGTCTGTCGCCCGGCGATCCTTAATATCACTCTCGCACCACTCGCTACCGCTCGCTAACCCGCGCCCACAGCTACTTCCGGCACTACATCTCGTTCCGCGTCCTGTGGTCGTTGAGATATGAGTTCCATCTTGTGCCGTGCGTGTTCTGTTCTTCGTTCATTCTCCTCCTTCCCCTTCGTCTGCTTTTCGACCCCAAGTCCTGTTCCGCTTCGCATCTCCTACTTCCCGCTTCGCTGTGATGGCCGGATTCGTCATTTCTCGAATATTCCCTTCGTTGACATTTTCTCCGTTCATTCCACGTGCCTTTCCTTTCCTTACCCAGATTAATTTTTCATCCGCCCTACCCTCCTTCCCCTCCCCCTCGCCGGCGCCCCTCCGCGCTCTTTCCTTTCCTTTCTTTTTGAACCGCCCCGCCCGCCCAACACCCTCGCTAACCCCCGCCCAGCAAACACGCGCAGATCTTCTCGCCCTCGACGGGGCTCTACATGGCGCTCTGGATGCGCGACCAGATGTTCTACACGCTCTGCATTCTGCAGGTGCTCAACATCTTTTGGTATTATCTGATCTGGCGGATTTTAGTTCGGTGCGTGCTTCTGCTTCTTCCTCCATATCTATGTATTTCTCTCGGATGATGTCCGACGTTCGTCACGCGCGGGAGTGCAGGATGCTGCACCGCCTGCGACGCTGCCTTTTCTTTTGTAATCATTCGCGAGATAGGCCAACGCTAACGTACCCCGACAGATCGATCATGACGTCGCAGACGGATGACAACCGGTCCGACGTTGACGAGGAGGAGGAGGTGCCGGTGCTGCCCCTGGAGCCCGTGGAGCCCATTGCGGAGAAGGGGCTGCCGCCGTCGATTGGGAAGGTGCGTTCTTATTTCCGTGTTCTTCGCTCCTTCCTCCCCACATGGCACCTTGATATTGACATCAACTTCGCAGGCCGCCGACGACAAGCTCCCGCCCTCAAGCGGGCGCAGCAAAAGCAAAAACAAGAAGGGCGCCGCGGCGCGCACGGGCGTGGGTGCGGGCGTCGGGCTCACCCCCGTGGAGAAATCAACTTAGACGAACACTGAGAACGAGCTGCGACCGCCGAAAACGAAAACGCCGAAAACGACGAAAACGACAGCGCGGACGACGACGGGGAAGCCGAAAACGACGCCGAAAAGAAGAGCCTTACAAGAGACGGACTTGCGCGCTTGCTTATTGCTTGCTTGATTTTCATTCCTTTTAGGCTTCTCTTTCGTTCCCATTCTTTTACTTCTTATGTTTCTCTTATCTTTGCTTGGATCCCGCCGTTCCTTTGGATTTCCGCCTCCTTTCCTCCCATCCATTTCATCCCATTCCATATGTACATACGATACGCGATACGCAGGCGCTGCTCTCGATCGAGTGAGTATACCACCTCTACCTTACGCCCGCACTACTTACCGGCATACTCCATCCTTCGACCTAGCTATCGTTGGCTCGCTCGGCTCCTACATATCGCTCGCTCGCTCGGCTCCTACCTATCGCTCGCGGCTACCTATTGGGCTACCAGACAGACAGAAATACGGGT